ATCTTGGCTCACTGTGACCTCTGCATCCTGGCTTCAAGCAATTTTCCTGCCTCAGCCTCCCAAGTAGCTGAGATCATAGGTATAAGCCACACCTGGCTAATTTTTTTTTTTTGTATTTTTAGAAGAGATGGGGTTTCACATGTTGGCCAGGCTGGTCTCGAACTCCTGACCTCGTGTTCTGTCTGCCTTGGCCTCCTGAAGCCTTGGGATTGCAGGCGTGAGCCACCACACCTGGTCGGGGACCTAGTTTTATAACTAATATACCACCTTTAACCTGCCGGATTTTTGATAAAGAATCCCAGCAGACGACAAATACTCCAGAAGAAAGAAACATGCCTTTGAAAATTAAGGCAAACTTTTCAATATTTATTTTTATTTTCAAGGCAAAAAAACAAAACTCCTTTTTCTTATAGAAATAATCCATGCTCTCTATAGATGTTTTGGAAAACATAAAAGATCTTAGAGAAGTAAGTAAATAAAATAATTATTGCCCATATGTCAGTGATCCGGTGATATCTACTATTAACAGTTTGGTGCCATAGAAAAAGCTGAATAACCAGCATTTCCATAAGCAGCACTTCAGATGAGGCTCATGAAAAAGGGGTTGCTTGGATTGCTTGCAAAGAAAAAGTAGAGGGAGATAAAACATTTTGTCAAAGTCACCCAGTGAGGGGGTGGCAAAACCAAAACAGAGATACCAGGTTCTGGCATTTTCTAGCATTAGCCGGAGGTGAAAGTCTCTTCACGACCCAAGAGCTGCTGACTGTTGTTTTTCTCTGTCATTCTCTGGCTGGTGGCTAAGGAAAGGAACAGCCATCTTCAACAGAACACAGCTGACCACGCTCAAGGACAGACAAGGGGATATGTGTCAAAGAAGTTGTGGATGTGGTTTCATCCCATAGATTCCTGCAGGAGAGGGGAGAAGGTGTTTCCTCTTTGGGGTAGGAGGGAGTGACTGGGGGTAGATTTAAGGAGTCTGGATCTGTGGAACTCCTTAGCCTGAAGAAGGCTAAAGAGAACTGCCCCAGCAATTGAAGACAGATAATGACTAGCCTTTGCTCCAAAGACCTGCCAAGCAAAGTCATTTGTGAAAACGTGTTTCTTGTTCTCACTTTTCTCCAGAAAGAAAAGTTTTTGGCAGCTAAGGTGGTAATGACCAACATTTAGGAGCCTCAAGCCCACTGCTGGGTAAAATGGCTATTGGCCTTGGGCACTAAAGCTGACAGTGCATAGATATTGCTAGTAATCCACCAGTATTAGTGTTTTTCTTCTTCCAAAAATAAGCAGCAGTGTAGTCTAGTTGTACCAGAAAAGCCATAAGTTTGCATTTCAAGGTAGGAACCTGGACTTGCTCCAATAACCAACATCCAAATAATTTCTCTCTCACTGAAGCTCATCTTCCTTAACAGAGGCGTTATTATGACAACCAGCATATTTTTGTAGACCTTAAGACCTTTTACAAAATACTGGCAATAAAATCTCTTCAAAGTTCCAGTCATCCTGTTCACACCTCAGAATAATGTGTTATGCACTCTAGCTAATTTGTATGGCGATGTTAGCCTCTCAGTTTGAGATACTACCCCAAGATCACTTACTTGGAAATTGCAAGGTCATAGTCTGTTAGAGCTAGAAGGGATGGTCATTTATTTCCACCTTACCACTTTATAGATCAAGAGAGGTCCTGAGAGCATAAGTTACTTGTTTCAGATGTGAAGGGGTGTGCATTTGGGGTCCTGGGCCTTTGTCAACACCATCTCATTTCTCTCCACCCCTTTAATATGACTTGCAGAACCTGGAAAACCTGGTCCCAGAGCAGTGCACTCACTGACCACCGCTGCTCTCCTTTCTTAATGGAGCATCCTCACAACTGACTCAGAGAGTTCTTTTTGAGGTCACCTTCTGGGGGCAAGGGAAGAAAGACCATTCAACTATCCAAGCATCCTTTTAACTCCGCTTTATTTAACCTAGAGACCAGGAGAATGTTGAGCTAAAGAGAATGATAGTACTATTTTCTCTTAATGAAATAGCTTCAGACTTTGATATTAGATTGAGAATCCCATTCCAGGGTGTTGGCCTGCATCCTCTTAAGAGTGCTCCTTCAAATCTTATCATATGTGTAACCTGCAGAAAGGGCTGTTCCCTCCTGGTAAGGAGCAATCCCGAAAGAGAGACTCTGAGGAGATGCTCCAGATGACAAAAGCTCAGAAAAGCTGGCTAGTGTTGTCAAAATGTGAGTGCAGACAGAGCTGATAATTGTAGCCAAGTATAACTTCTATTACATATAGCACTCATCATCTGGCAGTGATTTGTTTAGTTATCCTTCTCCCTGCCTGGGTTCAAATTCTGGCCCTGATAATTACTAGCTATGTGATGCTAGGTAAGCTGTTTAACCATGTTCTCCTCAGTTTCCACACCTGCAAAAGTGATCATAGCACCTGCTTTGCCAAATTATTATGAGGATTAAGTTCAGTGTGTATTTAACTTTCTCTTCCCAGGGCCTACGACCATGCCAGACTAATGGGTACTCAATAATTATTCATGAGTTATTTTATTAGCATAATTTCCAATAAACTTCCTTGGAAGGCTGAACTTAAGTAGTTTCTTTGTTACATGATGCACCAAAGAGAAGAATCAGGCCAAGATATGCTTTTCTGTTTATCAGAATGAGCAGTGGCCTCCTTCTAGATCTTAAGCATTTGGAGCCCATATCCGTTATTGGACATGTTAGTACACATTGTCTGAGGCCATCTATAGTTGTCCTGGTTTGTCATTTAATTATGATAGATGCACTTTATATTTCAATTGACCATAGCTCCTACTGGAGAAGAATAGAGTCTTATTTCTCTCTCCCTCACAGGCCTTATCACAGTGTCATGAATTACAGTGAACTATTTGTTGATTGATAGGTCTAAAATTATGTTTGTTCCACATTTTTTAAAGTGTCATTTCTGAAAGGAAAGGTGTTGAATAGCCTTCTCTAGGGATCTTTAAAAATAATGAGCGTTCTCACTTGATTGGGGTGAGGAAAGGAAGGTCTTTCTGGGCAATAAAATGGCCTTTGGTCCTGAAATTGGAATTATTTGAACTTCAGTTTGAATGTACATTTGAAAATAACGTGTTAAAAGTATGACAGGATATTCTATTCGGAAGATGGGGCTGGGGCCAGGCCAAGGATGTGGATATACAGAAAATGTTCTTCATCTCAGAAGAGAAGAATACGGGGCAATTATGAGAACAAGAGCACAGGGTCTAGAGCAAGGCAGTTTTGCCAGGCCTTACAAGTCCAGTGCAGTGGGTCTGGAAAACAGCAGGAATACTAGTTTTCTATCATGGCCATAACAATACCACAAACTTAGTGGCTTAAAACATCTGTTTCTTAGTCTTAGTCTATTTTGTGCTGCTATAATGGATTATCTGAGATTGGGTCATTTATAAAGAACAGAAATTTGTTTTCTCACAGTTCTAAGGCTGAGAAGTCTAAGGTCAAAGTGCTGGCATCTGGTGTGGGCCCTCATACTGCATCCTCACATGGGAGAAGGCAGAGGGGAGCAAACCCACTCCTACAAGCCCTTTTCATGGTGACATTAATCCATACACGAGGACCGAATCCTCACAACCTAACCACCTCCCTAAAATACTCTTCTCCATTTGTAAGTCTCCCAGGCATCTGAGACTTAATATATCCTAAATGGAGCTCCACTATTCGCCCAAAACCTGCTCCTCCTACTGTCTTCCTCATCTTAGTAAATACCAATTCTATTCTAGTGGTTGCTCATGTTAAAAACTTTGGGGTTTTCTTTAGCTCTTCTTTCTTATAAGCCCTGTTCAGCAAACCCAGTTGGCTCTACGTTCAAAATTATATCTAGAATCTGATTATTTCTCACCATCTCACAATGCCTCACCTGGATCTCTGCAGTAACATAGTTACTGGTTTTGTTTCTTCTACTCACAATCTATCCTCTACATAGTAGCCAGAGTGATCTTGCTAAAACATAAGCTAGATCTGTCACTCCTCTGCTCACCACAGTCAGTTGTCCCATCTCATTTGAAATAAAAAAGCCAAAGACATTATGAAGATCTAAGAGGGTGGCCCTGTTACTCTGATTTTCCTGTGCTCACCCTTTAGGCGTTGCCCCCTCATTGGTGTTCGGGATCATCAAACATCAAAGTTTTCCACCTGGCCATGGCCATGGTGGCAGATTTTAGGTCTGATAGGGGTTCCTGGTCCTCCATGCCCTTTGGCTCACTTCTGACTTCTGTCCCCATTGTGAGAGTCATCAGAGTCTGAATGTAGGAGATGTTCTCGCCTAACTCAGAAAGTTGATAGAAACATTTCTCCACAGGGTTACATACTCCTCAATACAGTGCAAGCCTGGGGTCATTTTCTGGTACTGCTGCTGTCGTATCTAGTCAGGGCAGTAACTGGACTGGCAGCTGCTTCTGTGATGCACACCAGTTGTTGGAGTCTGAGGAGGGGAGAGGTGTTCTTAGAAAAAGGGAAGAGTGGAGTGGGGTCATTTCTACTTTATGTTAGCCATGTGGGTCTTCCAGCATCTCTCGGCTTAGTTGGTTCTACTCTTGGGGATTTCATGCATCTCAAAGTACACAGGCATCTTTGAGAACAATTGTTTCTTGTTGTTGAATTCAGTAGCTGATAGTGAGGTGAAGGATGTAGACAGAGCCTTTCCTTAAAGACTAGCAGGGTTGTGATGATGTGGGTATACACCCTGTTCCTCCCCTTGCACTGTTCTTCGTACTTAGACGGTTCAATGCATACTGTTTAAAAACTAAACTGACACATTTAAAAAAGTTAATGAACATGTAAGACAATAAATTAGTTACAGACAAATAAGGCCTAGAATACACACATTTTATCACTGGAATTCAATGTCATTGTGGCCAAGGGAACTGAGAAGGGGACTAAGATCAGCTCAGGGCCTTTTCAGGACATCCGATGTGGCCGTAGGGTTGATGTATGGTGTCCTGCTTTTGTCTAATAGGTCATCGCCTGTGAGCAGCAGTATGACTCTTCCTATGACGCTCGCTGTGACGTCTGGTCCTTGGGGATCACAGCTATTGAACTGGGGGATGGAGACCCTCCTCTCTTTGACATGCATCCTGTGAAAACACTCTTTAAGATTCCAAGGTAGGACACAAGATGGCGCTCTTGACTCATTGGTTCTTTGTGAAAGCATCTAGTTAGAGGAATAATAAATAGTTTGTAAGCAATTTCTCTCCAAACCTGACAAAGCCTGATTGTGAAATGTATTTTCTTTGAAAAAACAAGGGGGTGGGGGGTGGTCGGGAAGAGGATGTTCCTGAAAGATAACATACCCCAAGGAATAATAAGGCCTTATTTGAACAATGGCATATTTTCAGCACTCAGCTTTTTCTGAGATACTCATTTTTGTACTTTGCATAAGACTACGAATGGAACTGTGGATTAAGTAATCTGTCTAAATACTAGTGTTTTCTTTTTAATTGCATACTTTCTCCAGTATTCGGTGAAAACGTATGTGTATCATACGGCTCTATTCAGTCAGACAGCATTGAAATGTATCAGAAAATGTTACATCAGCACTACATCTTACTCTCCATCCCTTAATTTCTGTCTCAATGGAAAATTGTGTGGAAAGAGGTCTGTTTGGAGAGCATTTAAATGCAAGCATACTTTCTATTCTGTATATTCATTAGGGGTTTGTACAAGAGGTTGGGTTGTCTTTCATTGGAATCAGGCTGATGTATGGCCAGCTCACGGCTCTAGTTACAGAAAATGAAGCTATCCAGGGAGTTCTTCCCAGCCAGGGTACAGTTTGAGAGATAATTTGTACCTTCCAAATGTCTCTTTCAAAGGCAGGCTCTGGGCAGGCTGGGAGCCATTTAGCTGCTTTAACAATACAAGTGTTGACCTTTCCTTATCTGCACAATCACACAGCTATCACAGCCTTTAAACATTTCTACTGATTGCAATTTACATTTCTGATTAGGTCTATTTATATGCAGATGAGGCTCTCTGGTGTTCATCATCATCATGTTATCATTTTATACCTAATCCAGATGTGAACAACCACCAACCACTATTCCAGAAATGATTCCCACCCAAGCCAGAGTTAGTCTTTTTCCCTTTTTTGAATCACAAAAACAGGTCACAGTGATTAGAGGAGCAGACGGAGCACCTGGCTTTTTAAATTAATAGTCTGGTGAGCGTTCAAAAGGATATAAGAATGCAGGAGCCAAAAGCAGCATTGTGTACAGTAATAAGTCAGAAAATGGGAAATGGTGTCTGGAATGATTTGTGTGTGTGCTTTGATTTTTTTACAGATGGTTTACCCCTCACCATTTATTTAATGTGGCAACATAATTTTCTGAATATCAGGATTAAGGTGTAGCTTCTCATTAGCAAAATAATACGTACTTTTGATAAGAGATCATCTATATATTTTTTCTTACTATGCATATGTATATAGACCAGCTGTTCAAAAATTTCTTAAGGTGATAAATGTGAGGCAGCTAAGTGTGTGTGTGTGTGTGTGTGTGTGTGTGTGTATGTATATGTGTGTGTGTTTAAATAGACCCTTTCTCTCCAGTGACTCCACTTAGCTTGCTTCTGTGCCCAGCCAAGTTCTGATCTCTAATAATCTCTCTATTCTCTCACTACTCATCTCTTCCATCTTGGGAGAAGCCTCCAGATCTCCAGATGTGGGAGTAACTAAGCCTCTACTGCCTGCCTCAGGACAGAAGGGATCCCAGGAATTGGGCAATTGCTAGAAAAGGATCCTTATTCGACATAGTTTAAGGCTTTGTTTCTCTCCTCTTAGTGTTACCTTCTGCCCTTTTAATGTCTCTTGGTTCCAGTGCAAATGATGAATCAGATTGAACTAGGCATTGTCAGCAATAATCAGTTAGCAGATTCTCAGTGTGATGATGTGTGCTCATGTGTGTTCAACACTTGCCACTGTCACAACCTTCATGGCTGACTTGACATTCTTGAACGGGAATGATAAGAGGTTTTATTTTATTATATTTTTAAATCTTAGCATGTTTGTACAGCTTTTTTCTTCCCCAAACCAGGAAAAAGATGTTGGGTTTATATTCACCAAGTTATTTACTTTAGAATTACCCTGTCAATTAGAATTGCACAGTTCTCTTTGAAGCTTTGTGAATTGACCAAATGTGTGTGTCACATGTGTACTTAATTTTTAGTGCTAAAAATGTATCCTTTCGCCAGAAAAGCTCTTTGATGAAAAGTAGAGAAATTAAGCATTTATGTATTTTTTAAAAGGCACTCAAATTATTTACCTATGTGTTTCATTAGAATCAATCTCAGTGTTTCTCTTTGTCTCTGTCTCTCTCTCTCTCTCTCTCTTCCTTTTATTATTATTATTTTTTTTAAAGACAGGATTTCACCATATTGGTCTGGCTGGTCTCAAACATCTGACCTCAGGTGATCTGCCCAACTCAGTCTCCCAAAGTGCTGGGATTACAGGCGTGAGCCACCATGCCTGGCATCTCTCTCTCTTCCTAATGGAGAAGCAATTGACAAATAATAACAAAAATCCTTTGAACCTATTTGGCCTCGGAATTATTTTTCTTTCTATTTGAATGTGACTATTTTCAGTGTTTTTGAATTGTTGCCAGTGAAACAATGAGATCCATTTCAGGGTATGCTGGGATCCAGAATACTGTGTGTGGCTTCTTCCTCTGACTTTCCTCACTGACCTTTTCCCTGCAACCCTTTCTTTACTGGAAATAAATTGAGTAAATTACCAAGTAAGGGAAGAAAATAAAACCTTGACTGAGTCAGGGAAGAAGTAACTTTTATAAGTTAAAAAAGATTTATGAGTTACTGAAGTGCTGGTTACCTGTGAGCCTCAGATGTCAACAAAACAGGTAATTAGGAAGGTTCCCTGGTTTACTGTCAGGACATATGAAGCAACTTGCCTGGATGTGGTTGATTTGCCTGTACTTGGGTCTCCTTGCTCTTCCCCTCACTTCCTTTACCCACCTTCTCCTTTCTCTTGACCTTCACATTGCAAGATGACACACAGAGTCATCATGACCTGTCTTTGAAATACTTCATGACTCACAATCTTTCCCACTTTGCAAACACACAGAAATTATCTGCTGATTGGCAGAGCATCCACTATTTGCTGAACCTGTCAGCATGTGTCATCTCATCTAATGCCTGTGCTCCAAAAACGTCACCCCTCTCTGACTGTCGCTGCTCTGCCTGCTGCTATTTTTCTCCAGGAGTTATAAGAGAGCAAATGAATGAAAATCATTTCTCTCAATGTCAGTGGATTCAAATCTCTCTCACGACTCTTTACTGTAGAGGACTTCTTTAAAATTCCAGTGGCTTAAAATGATCTTGAAGATGACCTGGATATATTTTTACATAAAAAGAGATCTGTTTCGTAGACATAAATGCAAGAATCAATACAGTTAGTGGAAATTCACAGTTATGTTGGTCTTTTGACAACCGAGTATCTCTCCTTAGCTTAGAATCTTTGGCTAATGACTCTAGACTTCCACAGAGGGGAGTGAGGAAGGTGGTGGGGACCAGTGTGGGTGTGTTCACTGGTCAGTCACTGAGAGCTGCATCACCTGCCCATTTATCTGGGGCCAGGTAGCAGCTGACTTGGTCCAGTGTCTCATCTCACATTGAATACTTCCACTTTATTCCTTATGGAAAAACGCAGGATGTTTTCAGGATTCTCAGCAGAAATGTCTTTGGCTGGAAGTGGACAGCACAGACTGGCCCAAACATTCCAGTCCTTAAAGCTGGTGATTCTTTCTTCCTACAGAGAACTTTCCCTTCAGCACACAGTTCAAAAAAAGGAGAACTCGCAATCATCACCAATTTGCATTTTGACTTGTTTTCCTCATTCAGTCTAGGTTGTTCCAAGTCACCTGGACCCAACTGTATTTATTTCTTAAGGCTGCTACATCAAAATTGCCACAAACTTGGTGGCTTAAAACAACAGCCATTTATTCTCTCAGTTCTGGAGGCCAGAAGGCCAAAATCAGTGGGTCAGCAGGGCCACGCTCCCTTTGAAGACTCTGTAGAGAAGAATTCGTCTTTGCCTCTGCCAGCTTCTGGTGGCTCCCACTTTCCCCTGGCTTGTGGCAGCATGACTCCAATCTCTGGCTTCATCTTCACATGGCCACCTTTCCCATGTCTCAGGGTCTTCTTTTCTGGTCTCACGTAAGGACACAGACTTAGGGCTTATCCTAATTCAGAATGATTTCATCTTGAGATCCTTCCTTAATTACATCGGCAAAGATTCTTATTCCAAATCAGGTCACATTCTCAGATTCTGTAGACATATCTTTTGCGGGGCGGGAGGGGGGGTCACAGTTCAACCCTTTACACCAACTTTTATGTTTACCAAATTCCCTGAGAAACTAATTTGGGGGCAAGATACAAGACAGTTAGCTCAATGATGATGGAAAAATAATAGCTGCTAAGATCTGTCAAGTGCTAACTAGGGGTCAGGTACAGTGTTTTGTGTTTTAGAAATGTAAATGCATTTAATTCCCAAGGCAACTCTGTGATGTAAGTACTGTTACCACTCCTTTTTCCAGATGAGAAAACTCAAGGCTGTTAAGCAGGCTTGCTGGCCTCTGGTCATGCACCCAGGGAGGAAGAATGATTTGAATCTGAGAAGTTTGACTCTGAAGCCCACACATTTTGCTACTACATTGAAAAGTTAAAGCCCTTCCTTAAATTATATTATTTGTTAAGGAATTATATGTTGAGCACGGAGGGGACTGGGGCATATAGAAATGAATAGAAAGTGGTCCTGCCCTTTCTGTTCATCGGAGGGAAGACAGTCCGATGTTTTTCCTCCTACTCCCAATTTTAAGCTGACATTATTAACCTGAAAATTAGAATTTTATTAGCATCATGACTGAATCAGCCAAAAAACTGAAGAACAGATATCAAGAGTATCATCACAGGTGAACATAGGCTGTCTTTGGCTCATTGATTTATGACCCCCAAACCAGAAATCTCTCCCTTCTCCAAACTCCCCTTCAAGCAACTGCTTTTTATTTCCTAATTTGGAACACTTAAGGCAAGTTTTTCAGCTGAAGAACTGTAGAGCATATGTCATATAAAAGCAGAAAAATAGTTCAAAATATCAT